TGGAAAGCTGCTTGTACACTTGCACTTACCCAAGAGCCAAATCCATATTTCAGGATTCGAACCCTTGACGCAGCAGCCTCAAGCAAAGCTAGATTTCTCCACCCTCCCCTTTTACCACTTGGAGATGTGCCCTGGAGGCTTCATCCTCTAATTATGCTATACGAGCAGGCGGATGTAGCCCCCCCGCCTCCTGCCACCTATAGGGGTGGGTTAAATGTGAAAATCTTTCATTTTAAGGCATCCAATCCCTCCTCACACCCCTGGATCATATTTGGCAAAGTTCTTTCAGGTTATAAATTGGTGAGACTCATGATAAAATATGTGGTTAAAGTAAATAGAAGTCATTAGTCTAAAGAATGTGATTAAAATTGAAGTTTATAATTAAAAAAAAAAAAACTGGCAAACATGGGCGTAATGTATTTTGTTACTTAAGGATGACAATGAGGTTGGAAGAGACATAATTGAGCATAATTATCAAACACGATCTAGACGTTGAATAGTTTCTAGCATTGGGCCACTAGGCATTGGTACAGTCGGTACCCAACTATTAAACTAATAGGTCAATTCCTATCAAATCAGTGAGTCAATTTCTCTCAAATGTAGCAAGAATTGTTGTGAACTTTACAATAATTTGGTGACCAAAAAATGTCATTCTACAATTCCAAATCCAACACCTTAACACATTGTTGCACATTAGTAGGGTTCTTCAAAATTTGGAGGTCGGGGTCATATAGACTATAGTATATGCTTAAAAGTAAAAAATTGGTATAGGACATTAAAAAATTAGACTTTTGTACATTAGTGTTGAAAGAAAACGAGTCGTCCATATGGGCTGACTCGACCTCGAATTATATGGGAGTAGTTTAGAAGGAGAAGTTGAGGGAGTTGATATTTTGAATTTGAACCCATAACTCCCCCACAAACCTCCAACTTCCATAAAACATCCACTCCACCGCAAAATAAAAAATAGAACAATGCAATTTAGATTACATAATAGAGAGAAACATACATGAGGATGGTGGCTTGATGTTAAAAGTACAACATTTCAATTTGGATTCTTGGATTGTGAACATCAAACTCCTTCCTTGATGATCAAATTTCTTACTAATAAGCGGGTGCAAGATGGTGAGGAATGCAAGCAATCAAAAGGCAAGTGATTCAACGTCGTTTTGAAATTTCAAGTAAGTTTTAGTGTTTTACTATTTTGAATTCGCTTATAAGCATGCAAGCACGATTTACAATTGTACCAGACCTAAGTAGGTTATTTTCTTTCTTAAAAATATGCTGAAAATGCTTTAGAATAATTGAAATGCTTGAGTTTCATTTTCTTTGAAAAGCTGCAACATCATTAATGACAACTTTTGATATAGTCCATCTAAATTCGTAAGATTTATACCATATGTTTATGATATTAAGAAGAACACATCTGAAAATTTTCAATTCGTTTGGATTTATATTTTGGGAAAAAAATTGAACCCTAGTTAAAAAATCGAAATTGCATCGCATGATAACTTCTTGTACGTTGAGTTCCATGCTGCTCATTCAGGATGTTTGGATAGATTTTGATATTTGTACACGGGTGGTTGATATGCCCGTGTATACTCCCCTCACATGAGGGGGCCTGCGTCCAATAAAGAATGCATGTGCTCTCCTCTTGCGAGGGGAGTGTACACGGGGATGTCAACGCCCGTGTGCATACAACATGCTCTATGGTTGGATAAATCTTTTCGAAAACTTTCCAATGGTATAAAAACCATTAATGTTGGCCTTATATTGAAGGAATTATAGCATTCCAAAGTTTGTTCCAAAATTTGAAATTTTTGCATACATATTAAAAACGATGATCAGTGTTTATTTTGCCATTTTAAGTCTCGGTCGTATCGAATTTGTGTCCCAAACACGGCCTTATAGATTGTTGTTGTAAAATTTGACCATACAGATGACCTTAGAACTTCTAAATTGATCAAACGGATGGAACTTATAAATTGATCAAACGGATGGATCGAATTTTTTTATTTTTTTTTATTTTTTATGTCGAATAATCGGTACGTGTATTGCAAGCACCGAGGATGTGTGTGGAGGGAATGCCTGGTATATATTATTAAAAAATGAAAAGAAGAAGGGCAAAAGTAATGCCGCGAACCATTCTTATTGCAATTTGAAGATATGGTAACTTAGTCCCTAAAATATTCATGTTTTTATAAAGTGCAATTACTATTACTATTCAGATAATCAAATATATATTTTTCAATTTTCCAATTGAAATAAATTTAAAAAAAATATTCTTGATTTGATTAAATTTTGAAAATATTTTTAAAAGATCAAGAATGTTTATTAAGTGGTCTTTGACCAGTTGAAGTTATTTTATGAAGTGCTCTCATTTTTTTTTTTTTTGAAAATGAAAGATAATGCGAAAACGTTTCAAATACCATATTTTTATATACATTCATGAGTTGTGCGTGTCCTAAATAGGTTATTTGATTCTTTGTTACTAGTTTCAATTTCTTTTGTTTGATTAGATATGGTTAGATCTATGAGCAATTTTAGCATCCTTAGAGGAGATGCTAGTAAAGCACGGGTTTTAGAATGTGTTGAAAAATTATGTGCATATTGAAACTATGAAATGGATCCACAACATAATTTGATACAACACATAAAACATCTCGTAGTAATGCGCCGGCAAGTGATACATTGGTGATAGCTTATGCAAGGTGGAGAGTATGTATCATTTAATGAGCACTCTTCCTAGTTATTGGCACGATAAAGTTATTGAAGTTTTGAATAATTCATCACCTCTATCTTACAACTATATGATCAAGATTTTGATGAGGAAATAAAATTCTAAAAATGAGAATTTTATAATCAATTTAAATATGTATTGTTAATTTATATTGTTGAACAACATCTATGTAATATTTTTGTTTTTATATCTAGTAGTTGAATAGAAAAATTTATTATGATTGCATGTACATATTTGACATTTTGTGATTTATAAATATATATTTTATGTTTATCACAATGTCAAAATGTCTAGCTTACTACATGATTAATATTTTAATTCAGTGGGAGTTTTAAGATTTAAAGAGTTCGAGTAATTCTGACTTAAAATTTATGATTTTGCGCTGTAAAATTAATTTTATGATAATGAAACGTTAGGATAATAGACGATGATTGGGAACTTAGGTCCCGTTTGATACTCATTTTTGTAAGAATGAGAATGAAAAATATAACCGTTACGGGATCCACACAAGATATAGAACTCAAATATGATGGCTTGATGTGATGGATAACGATCACATTTTTTATTTTTGTGGTCAAATAATGGGAATCAAAAGGGGGCTTAGTAAATTTTCGACTCCATGTTTAATGTTAATTATCATAAAACTTAATTTGCATGACTACAAAATGTTATGTGTGCATAAATGAATATTTATATGTTTGTCTCTAAAATTCTAATAGACCATGGCATATAAGAATATCATAACTGACCTTAATTAGGATGTTAAATTGAATGACTATAATCCTTAGCGCCATAAAGACCCCGTTTGAGCCGCAGTAATGTAAGAATGAGAATGAAAAATATAACCGTTACGAGCCTCACACAAGAGATAGAAAGTCAAATATGGTAATTTGATATGATGGACAACGGTTGTATTTTTTATTTTAATGGGCAAATAACGGGAAACAAACAGGGGCAAATTTTGGTATGTGCTGGAAGAACATGATTGCCTTGAAAACATTAACCACGTGATGGAAAACCCAATTGTGCGTTGAACTGCTAAATAAAGAAGGGATCGAAAAAATTACCGGTCTTGGAAAAAGAAAGATTCCATTGCTCATGTGATTTTGGTAAATTCCATGGTGGACAATCTCATTAATGGTGTGAGCAGTTTCCAATTGCTCATGGCATCTGAGCATATTTGAAAGAGAAATATAGTGGTACTAGTGTGACTACACTAAGAAAGCTGACTATCTAGTGTGACACTTACAAGAAACCTCCTAATCACAACATCATTTAGTATATGAGGACCACATCTACAATGATTAGAGAGCTTAAGTTAGCACTATGTATACTGTCTAGTATATCTGAAAGAGAAATATAATGGCATTTGGGCATATCTGAAAGAGAAGTATTGTTGTACTAATGTGACTACACTTAGAAAACTGACTATCTAGTGTGACACTTATAAGAAACCTCCTAATCACAACATCATATAGCATATGAGGACCACGTCTACAATTATTAGAGAGCTCAAGTCAGCATCATGTATACTCTCTGATGAGCAGCAAGTTCAAGCTTTGATCCCTTCCTAATAATTGGAAACATCTGAAAGTCAATCTAACTCATAACGGTGGTATGAAAACTTTTGTTGATGCTATCCGCCATGATGAACTAGAGGATGAACTACTTGGAGCTGCTAAATCCCTCGGACATGCTTTTGTGGCTGACTTTAGTTTTGGAAAAGCTTCAAACTTTAAGCGTAAGAAAAACTCGTTCACTAGCAAAAAAGGAAAAAGAAAAAAGATTGGACACGGACCTAAAAAGAACAAACCCAAGTGCAGTAAGAAGGGTAAACGATTTGAAAAGAAAAATAAGAATAAGCAGAAATGCTTCAATTGTCAGGTGCTCCATCACTTTGCTTAGAAAATGCCCAGAGCTAAAAAAGATAGCTTTGTAAATACTTTTTCTATTGCTATTTATACACTGTGACGCTAATCGAATCTTGTCCTATTTGGATTGTAGACTTCGGAGCAATTAACCATGCAACCAGGGATTGAGAAGTGTTTGTGGAGTTTCATCAATTTTCAGCTGGTGCAAAATGAATATACTTCGGTAATGATGATAGAGTGGAGGTAGAAGGAATCAGTACATGCAAGTTGCATTTACATGGTGATTGTATTATTCTCATTCACGATGTCCTGTTTGTACCAAAAATATAAAAGAACTTAATTTTTGTTACCGTACTTTTAAGATTAAGTTTCAATTTGATTTTTTGTAGTACTACTATTTTATTTGTAATGATAATGAATACTACGGATTTGGATATGTAGCTGGTGATTTCATGGTATTGGAATGTGATTCAAACACTTATAATTAATTATGTTAGTCATTGTTTTTCTATAAATAATTTACTTTTTCTAATGATTTGAATGTTGATACATATGTATGACATGATAGATTAGGACATATTGAACAAGAGAAAATGAATATGCTAGCTAAAGAAGGCTTGTTAGGTTCAGTATCTAAGGTTTCATTACCTATTTGTGAACATTGCCGAATTGGAAAAACAAAAAGAAAACCATTTGGTAAAACCTTAAAAGCCGAAATTTCATTATAATCTGTCTATTCAGATATATGTGGCCCTATGAATGTGAGGAAAAGACACGCGATTGCAAACTGTATAATTATGTCTTTTGATTTCTCATAAGGCAGATGCATTAGAATTCTTTAAACGATATTTAAATGTGGTAAAAAATCAAATATATAGAAAGTTGAAAGCCTTGAAAACTGATCGAAGGAATGGATATCTATCCAAAGAGTTCAAAGAACTGTGTAATGACAAGATAATAATTAGGTTGTTAACTATTTCTAATACACCTAAACGAAATGGTGCTACTGAGAGAAGGAATATAACGTTATTAGAAATGGCGAGGTCGATGATGCTACCTATCCATTTCCTACTCGGGGAGTTGGTTTGTTAACTATGATCTATATTTTGAATAGAGCTTTCTTTAAATCAGTACCTGCTATACCATATCAGCTTTAGACAGCAAGATTTGAGTTCTCTTAGATCTTGGGATCAGCTGCCTATATCTATGATTCATCAAGTAAGTTCGGAAAACTCGGGAGCGAAACAAGAAGTGTATCTCTATAAGATACTCAGACTAGTCCAAAGAACATGTGTTCATAGGTGAAAATCAAGATGAAACTATAATTGAGATAGAGTTATGTGATGTAACGTTTCTTGAGAGTGATTTTCCTAATAGGAGAGATATTAAAAAGGGAAAACCTTTGTTTGAATTAGATGATAGATTTGTATTTGTTGGGTCAATTGAGATGTAAGAGAAAGCACTTCCACCCGTTGATCCAAATGGGAGCAATTCATAACTAACTTCAAGTGACAAGGTCACATAATTGCTTTCACTTCGTAAGGGTACTAGAAAAAACATACCTAAAAATCATTTTGAGATTGAAGGATAAGTTTTTGAAGTATCTCTAGAAGATGATGAACAACTAAAATCAGTACAAGAAGCTTTATCATCCCCTGTAAAGAAAAAGTGGAAGAATGTAATGGAAGAAAAGATGAAGTCTATAAAATCAAATCAAATCTGGGACTTGGGTTGATCTTCAGACTAGTAGGAGGGTTATAAGAACAATTTGGTTCTCAAGATAAAATGAAGAGCTGGTGGAATTATCGAAAGATATAAGACTAGCTTGGTAGCAAAAAGTTATATTCAACAGAGGGTATAGATTATGAAGAGACATTTTTCACCAATAATGAGATTTACTTCAATTAGCTAGCTCTTAGCCATAGTGGCATGTTTAGATTTAAATTACATCAAATGAATGTAAAGATTGCCTTTCTTAATGGAGAATTGGAAGAAGAAATTCACATGCAACAACCAATAGGTTTCATTAAAACAGACAAAGAGAATAAAGTTTGTAAATTGAAAAGATCAATCTATGACCTAAAGCAGTTTTCTAGATGGTGGTATTTGAGATTTTACAAAAGCGATTATCTCGTACAATTTTGTCATGATGGACGAAGATCATTGTATTTATTTGAAAATGTCTAATGAGAAATTCGTAATTTTATCTCTCTAAGATGATATTCTCTTTGCTGAAAATGATAAGGAGTATATTAAAACCATTATAAAATGGTTGTCATCAAATTTTGAAATGAAGGACATAAGTGAGGCAAATTACATATTTGGTGTTAAAATTTATAGAGATAGTTCGAAAAGACTTCTTGCTTTGTCATATGAATATACAAAAAAATTTTAAACGTTTAAAAATGGAGAATTACAACCCCATTGACACTCTTGTATCGAAAGGCGAAACTCTAAGTCTTCTCATGTGTCCTAAGACTTTTGAGAAAAAAGAAGAAATGTCTGTAGTACCATATTCCAATGCGGTTTGGAGCTTGATGTATGCTATGATGTGTACTTGTTCTCGACATTTGCTATGTCGTTGGTCTGGTCAGCATGTATCAATTTAATTTCGAAAGAGAGTATTGGAAAGTTGTTAAGATGATATCAAGATATTTGAAGGGTACTGCTAGTTATTCTCTATGCTATCAAAGGAATGATTTGTGTTTAAAATGATACATAGATGTTGATTGGGATGAAGACCTAGATTAGCGCAAATCAATTTTCGGATATGCATTATTGTTTAATAATGGCCCTATCTCTTTGTATAACAAGAATCAAACATGCATTTTTTTTTTTGGTCCTCAGTAGAAACATAATACATAGCATGTGCTTTAGCAGTACAGAAAACTGTTTGGTTAAGGAGTTTCTTTCAACATCTAAGAGACCTTAATTATGACGTACGTAGGATTTATGTTGATTTATTGTGATAGTCAAGCAACCATTGCATATACAAAGGATCTCAAGTGTCACAACATAACCAAACACATTGATACAAAATATAATTTTGTAAGAGACATCATATGAAAGAAGTAAATAACTTTGCACTATATTTTTACGCATCAAATGGTAGCTGATCCATTGACTAATTCTATCCCTAGAGATATTATTGTTAATCATGTTAAATCTCTAGGATTGCATAGAATCTGAATTATGTACCATGTAAACTTTTTATGTGTCTATTAATGAACAATATTTTTGAGTTCATATGTTAAGAGTAATCTTTTGTTAAGATTATTAGATTACTGTTTACTATGCATACATAAAGTACGTCAAACAGGTTGAGATTGATTTACTCATACGAACAATTGTCTTAGACAATTTGGGATGTTCTAAGATGAGACACGGTGATCATATTGTGTAAATGATCTAGTCGCTTTGATGAGATATTAAGATGAGATTACAACAAGCAATTGAAATGAATTTCATTATCCATTAAAGCTGTTAAATGGTTAGATCGAGTTTTCGATAAGGATTGCTTAGAGAAATAAATAAGCATAACTCAGGTTAGATATCGATAAATATTTAAACTATGATTGGTACGGTATATTTAATTTGTAATATTAGACATATGCTCTAAGAAAGGGAGAAAATATCGTAACACGTGTTTTATACCATGTATGATTTAATGACTAATGAGAAATGAAAGAATTGATCCCTACTTTTCCATTGTATAAGTCTCTGAGGTACATATGACCTTACTTATATACCTTTATGACTTTTGACCGTTTCTTAGAATTTTATTACGGTGTTACTACTTTAGCATGTTTCCAATCTACGGTTGATTCGATTTGGTTGGGCATGTCTAAGAAAGCAGTTGAATTGTAATAAAGGGATTCAAGTAGGAAAGGAAAACTATCTTATCTAACATCTTAACTTGTATTCATCGATCTGACAATTGTGTTAACTATTTGATTTTTGTGATCCAATTGTGAATATAATATAAATGAAAAAGTTAAGTATGTTTTTTTATTCATTGAGGGGTCAGAAATATTCAAACTGGTGTTATAAAATATGCATGAGGTATAGCGAGAAATATATTTCCTTTAGTAGAGCAACTATATATTTCTAACAGATATATAGTGTTGTGCGCTCTTAAATCAACTCAACTTGCTTGTCACATGGTTACTTGTATGAACTTGAAAATGTTAAGATATATATGATTGATATTATATTAAGATTAGATCAAGCCCATCATATGCAAGTGGGAGATATTGATAGAAAATGGGTCATGTCATGTAGGCTAACCTAACCCGAATCGCATGAGAGTAGTTTGGAGAGAGAAGTTGAGGGAGTTGATGTTTTGAGTTTGGAACCATAACTCCCCACCACCTCTAACTTCCATAAAACACACACTGCACTGCACGACAAAGTAAAAAATAGAACAATGCAATTTTGATTATACAATAAACTTCTCCCTTGGTGATTGATTTTCTGACCAATAAGCAGGTACAAGACGGTGTGAAAAGCAAACAGTCTAAAGGCAAGTGATCCAACCTCGTTTTGTGATTTCAAGTAAGTTTTAGCACTTAAATTTCGCTTATAAGCATGCAAGCACGATTTACCATTAGCAATGACACAACTTGGTCATGTCTTTTCAGGTTGCCAATTATCTATGAATTTTATAACTTAATCTTTTAGGATAGATTAGAAATAATTGTCAACAAATTATTCGACAGGGGATTTCTTTTGCTAATTATTAGACAACAGATTGGCCAGTTAATGAATTGAACTAATATAATTTCCATTTAATTATTTTATTAATTCTTAGATAGTGTTATAGCTTATTAAAGTACATTTTTATCATTATTAAATTCAATAGCTGATATGTCAAAATTTCAATTCCTTTACCGTCTGATGCCACAAAAATCTCTTTAACCAATTTTTCTCCTACAATGAGTGTAATTTTTGAATAAAAACAAAATTTGCTGAATATCTTTCCTTTGCCATTTAACACTCTACAAGTTGTAATTTAATTTATGTATTTTTAAGAAAATTTACAGCCATAAGCATTTTAACCTTGCGTTCTTAATTTTACTTTTTGTAATTGGTTTCGATTTTAAATCAATATTTAGTTAACACCATTCGATTGGTGCTGCTTGTACATAGAACATATTGTATATCCATGAGAATGTTTGGTTGAACTTAAAAATTGTTCAAAATAAACCTTTTTTTATATTTAAATTAAATTATTTTAAAGTAAACTTTTTAATATAATTAAAGATGATGTTCGTTTGAATTTGAATGTCTCATAAAGTCCAAAAAACACGTTGACACAAGTTGCAGCTCACAATTATACTTCATAACCTAATGGTGAAGGGACAACTTGTGCCCTTTGGCCCAACATTTTGACATTTGAAAATTGTAGAAGAAATTTTATAATGATCACATGTTAACAATAATTTATTTATTTGTAATGTGTGTTCTTAGGCATAGAGATCCATAATAAAGTTTATAGCACACAAATATTCAACAAAAAATTTAAACAGAACACAAATATTTTTCACTATAGGTCTGAATGTTGATCAAAAGACCTACTCACCTGTTGAGTGTCCACCAACTATATAAAGCTCAAACACTAAACACCAATAGAAAAATCCAAAATAACTTCCGATGTACACATTCTGCTGTAGAATTATTATAAGGCTTATAATTTATTTTCATCCTTCAAAATTCATGTAAAATGACTTAAGCTGAAGATTTTCATATATTTATCCTTTGGTCCTCAAACTTTAAAAATTTTCGATTTAGTCCTTGACCTATCATTATGCATCATAATATTTTCCCCATAAGATATGACATCTCGAGTATTTATACTATATTAAAAATAAAGAAGGCTTAAAAGTTCTAATACAAGGACTATTGGGACAGTGCAATGGCAGCTCCTCATCCCTAGGATCATTTGAGATCGGATAATATCTGACGAGAAGTTTTTGTCATCACTATTTAAAAACTTTTAATTATATATATATATATAAATTTTTTTTTTAATTTCCATTCTAATTATATCGAGGGTGGGAATTTTTCAAAAATCCAACCTTCATATTATCAGAATGGACAAATACATGGACCGTGAATCGTGCAGCTTCGAGAAGAGTAGAATGTGCATTGAATTCAGAGGCCCATTTTAATTCACTGATCACCGACTTATCTCTCTCTCTCTCCCCCTCTCTCATAAATTCATTTCCGCGTAGAAAGATGAGGGAAAGAAGTGATACATGCACAAGTAAAAAGAAGTGCACAATTCCTCGACCTGATATATTTTGTATGCAGTAATGAATCAGCTAGATAGTACAATAACTTCTTTTTTGATCAGTATCTCAAACGAACTATAACGACATCCTAAGTACGATAAATTCGAAATGACTAGAAAAGAAAGATGTGTCATACCAAATACATTATGAATGTATAGTTAATATTTCAATTTTTAAATTAGTTTGTGATTTTAATTTATTTGTCAACCTTGTAGTTGGCTATATGACATGAACAATGGAATGACATTGAATACATGCTGATTTGTCTTGATACTGCCTTTTGTTTTGGCATTTTATTGTAGAGCTAAACTTGTAAGGTATTGAAATGTGTGCTGGCATTATTATATGCTTGAAACTTGAAACCTATATAATAATAATAATGTTGTGATAGCATTGCTGTGAATCTTTAAGATTGATAGAAAGAAAGAGAATTTAATACATCAATTTGTCATATTCGGATGTATAGTAATGTTATGTAGTATTATTGGTGCTAGAAAAATGCAAATGTACTTTGGACCTTATTCTTATATTGTTCAATGAATTTAGAGCACGGCAAGTATTCGTGGAACGCTGATTGAGCCACAAAGGGATAATTCATTCTAGATTAGGAAGATTTGACCTTTGTGAACGAAAAATGTTATTTATTATTAGTAGAGATAACCAACGATTTATGTGATAGTTGATCATTCTGATTCATTGGTCAATATACGAATATGTATAGGTAGGAACGAGACATAATTGATATTTTTTTTCTTAATTTTATGTAATCTTCTTTACAAAGTAACATTTCAATTTTTATTTGTGGTATGTCAAAGTGTAGCCTTCATTTGCACACCATCTCATCCATGCATGACACAATCTTTCATGGCCACTTAGGTTTTGCCATGTCAGCTAAATAATTCATGATCACGTGTAAAGAATGTGCTAATGTATGAAATTCCACATCAATCGAGGTATGTAATGTCTATATGTATTATTATTATTATTATTATTATTATTATTATTATTATTTTTTGGAACTCAGAGAGTCTCATTTTAAAAGTTGCTTTTAAGTTGATATATATTTGTCTCGATAGGACTTTTATTTTACACCCATTTTTTG